GATTATCCTGGTCTTGTTTTACTCCTCTGCGAAAATGATTCTGTAATAATCAATTATTTACATCTGTTATGAGTTTTGAATTTTGAATTTGGATCAATCTACGAAACCCCTGTTTCCAATTTATCTGTTTTCGAAATCTTCTATTCCCCATACCTCAATTTCTCTACTTAAGGATCTCTAAGGCTCTCTCCAAAACAACAAACATTTTTCATGCAAAAGTTAAGAGTTATGATTGCTAGAGAACTTTTTGTTGGGAAGAAAAAGAGGTTTTTGAAACCTAGTGTGGGTTAGAAGCGATAAGAATCAGCTGAGTGAGACTCTTGGTGGATTGTGTGTTGTGTCGATCTCTAAGAAAAACAGTTGTTCATCCTTTGTAGATTCGAAGGAGGTGTTCATCTCTTGTGTGACTCAAGAGAGATGTTTTTTAATATTTATTTTTATATTTGTAATCTGTTTAAATTGTTATTATAGTGACAGTGTTAATCCTCTTTTAGAGTGATTAGCAACAATTGTGTAAAATACTTGTGTATTCTTCTTATCATTTCTCTCTTTACTTTACAAGTATTTTTAATTGGTAAAAATTGAAAAAAAAAATTAAAACCCTAATTTTTATAAAAAATCAATTCACCCCTCTTAATTTTGTCCGCATGATCGCAAACATTCTATTGCGCGTAAGTTCTAACACAAATATGATTAAAATCGTCCCAAATTAAACATGTATTAGTTACAGGAATTTTTTTTATAATGTCAATTTTAAAAATTAAAAGAATTATTTATAAATTAGAAAACTTAAATAATCACCTTTAAGTTTGGATATTAAAAAAAAAATTGGAGGACTGAAAAAATATTTTTAATTTTGAGAGAGGTAAAATATCAATTTTATACTTTACAGACTAAAAAATAAATTATAAATTTAGGGATAAAATAAAGTTTAATTCAAATTTTGGAAACTTAAAGTTAACTTTCACATCGATGATTTAATCATACATTTCATAATTGACCTGATGTTATTCAGTTAGCGACAGGCGTAACACTGCCAGTGCTAAAAGGTGAAAAAGAATATTTTGGTTGATTCACCTGTTAAAATAAAAAGTAATATAAATTTGAAGAAAATAAAAAGTAATATAAATTTGAAAAAAAAAAAAAATATATATATATATATATATATATATATTTCTTAAGAAAAATACATTCGGTTGTTGCTTTGAGATTTATTTGGCTGAATTTTACTGACTACTAAACAAAAAAAATCACCTGTAAACACACTTAAATAAATAAGTTAATATATAAAAATATTTTAATAAAAATGAGATATAAATAATAAAGTCATTATATTTATAAATTTTTGTATATATTAAATTATATGTTTTAGTATTAATTATTGAACTTTTAATGTAATATTATTTATAATTATGTATATTTATTATGTATTATTATTATAATATTTATTAGTATAAAAATATTTTATTATATAATAAATTTAAAAACATGGACAAACTATATATATATATATATATATATATATATATATATATATATATATATATATATATATATATATACATAAAAAGGAGATGCGGAAAAAATAATTATAAAATAGTCAAAATAAAACACGTTATAGAGAACGATATATTTGAAGTGAGTAACCAACAATAGCAGCATATGCAGCATGCGTAGATACGTTTACTCTCATGGTTTACGAGAATAATAACTCTTAACGCTCACCATTTGAACTGAGAAAAATAATACAACAACAGAAGCCGAATCAGAAAAAGACAAAAACTACAATCTTGAAGCTATGAACTATACATGCTGAACCAGTTAATTCAAATCCATTGAAGTAGAACCACAATAAAAAATAATTAAAATTAAAAAAAAATTAATTTTCTATACATTTATTCATTTATATTTATTTTTTATGTTATTTGGTCAAACCATTAATAAAAAAATTTAAACAACTTATAGTATTATATAAAAATTTTATAGTAATAAATCATTTCAAACAATTAATATTTTACTTAAATATTTTAATAAGTAATTTTCATTTCAAAATATTCTTTTTAGGGATTTTTAATTCATTTAATTTAATATAAATTTTCATACATATTAATAAAATGTTAATTTAAATATATGTACATATTTTATTTAAATTTTTAAATGTTAAGAACTTTTACTTTAGCTTTAGAACATTGTAAAACTAAAGAAAATGATCTGCATTAGAAAACTTAAGATGACACCACTATCATTATTTTTATTTTCTCTGAGAATGACCACTCTTATAAATAAAAAATTACAGAAAAAAAATGTAGTATAGAAAATGACTAATCATTGTTAATCAGTTGAGAAAACCATTTATTTAATAAAATATTTTGTGTTTGATTATAATAGTGTGATATATAATTATACAATATTATTATAATGACACATGATATAATTTTGGATGACTGTCGAGCTCTTTGAATGTTGAAAAAAAAATTCACAGTAAAAATATTTTGATGCTTAAATCAGTATAAAAAAATGGATAACAATATAAGAAAAATCTTTGAATAAGAATAAGATTATTTGTAGATAATAAGATGGTCATATTTATAAACTTTTAGCAGGTATTTTAAATATAAATCATATCTATTTAATGTTGATTATAATCAAGTAAGTAATAAATAATATGTATTGATATAAAAAATATTTTATTATATAATAGGAATATGTATTGATATAAAAAATATTTTATTATATGATAAGAACAAGTACATGAGTCCATGAGTAAACTAATGAATTGACTAAGTAAGTCTCATATTAAATATCATAAGACTTTTTTCGCAGACAAATCATTGCTTTGATCTTTATTGTATAACCAAGTTGATTCAACTATTATATGTTTTTTCTTGACAATTGTGTAATTTATATTGATAATTTATAAAGTCTATGTAAGTTTAATTTAAAACAATAATTGATGTAGGTTCCATGTAGAACTATGAGGGATGTGTGTTCAATTTATAATTATGACGAAATATACTCTAATTTATATTTATGATGAAAATGTACTCAATTTATAGTTATTATCAAAATATTTGAAGCAAAACATGTTTTTGAAGTATACGAGGATTGTCAGATTCACATATAAATGTATGATTGGATAATATTGCGAAGTTTGATTGTTCTATATTTGTGTCAATGTATTTAATTTGGTGATATGAAGTGTTATAAGATAATGATATGTTTGAATAATTGTTATAGCATAATGAAATACTCGAATAATGACCTAATGACGTGATTAAATAATTATTATTATAGCATAATGATATGTTTGGATAATTTTAGCTTACTTTTAATGTATAACTTAGATAATTTGAGATAGAAGTGAATTAATTCTTTTTATTTTGTTTAAGATGAGTTAGAGAGACTTCATCTTATTAACTTTCTTGATGAGCTAGGATTGTTTCATCTTATTTAACTTTCTTAACGAGCTAAAGAGACTTCATCTTATTTAATTTTCATTATAAACTTGAAGAACAACAGATGTTCTATCTTATTTAACTTTTGTTATAAATTTAATGAGCTATAAAGACTTCATTTTATCTAACTTTTGTTATAAACATGATAAGCTATGGAGACTCTATCTTATTTAACTTTTGTTATAAACTTGATGAGTTGTGACAACTTCATCCTTTCATACTAGATGAGAATATTGACATGAAACATACCTATGTCCAATAATGGTGTTTTGCAATAGTTACATATAGTGATGACGTGCTATGGAGGCTATGTCTATAGTGTGTTATGATAATTGATTTGTTCGCTTTAATCTTCCACTAGACAAGTAAGGATTTGTTTAATATTGTGAAAGTTTCCTTAGTCTTGACTAAGTGAGTAAATATTTATTGAATGAATGTGCTACAAGAGTTACGTTCTTTCATTTAGTCTCTACACAAACATAAAATAACTCTTAAAAATAGAGAAATAAATAATTATTTATTTCTTGATAGATCTTACCTGTTAACATTAAAAATTAACATTCTTAAAAAATTATAATGTCTTTAATAAAGTGAGAAAAGAGAAAATTAATTTTAATATATATAAAATAATTTTTGTGAATTTAATATATTTATAATTTAATAATCATCACATTAAATTTTTTATATTAAAATTATTTTGTAAATTACAAAAGTCAATATTAAATATAATAATTTAACATATTCTTTTTTATATTATATTATGATGATAAATTGTTATTTATTTTATTTAAAGAGATTTAGAAAGTATTTATAATTATCCAGTGGAAATATATATATATATATATATATATATATAAAAAAATAAATTTTGATTGTCAGCAAAATTGATTTAAGTAATTAAAATAGAATTATTAAAATTTTATATAAAAGTCATTAATAACTCATTTAATCGCTAAATATATAAATTATGGTAAATTTAGATGTGGATAGATTTAGGTGATAATACTCTGTAGGTATTGGTATTTGGTTTGATTTTATATTAATATTTTATGAACTAAATGTAAAATTTAATATGATTTAATTTTAATTTTAAAATTGTTTTAACTAAATTAAATTAATATTTTGCCATTGGATTCAACGTATTAAAAAACTTAAATAATATTCGTTTTATATGCACTCATTTGTGAGGAATAGTTCATTATAATTTACGATGGAAAATAAATTTAAAAATATAATATATTTTGTGATTAGATAATAATTCTGTGAAGATAGTTTCTTTATTGTGATCAGTGATTGACTGCAGAAATCCTATACACATGTTATGTGATTGATTTTTGTAAGGAATGTATTTTACGTCATAATTTTATTAGATAATTTTGTGATGAAATTTGATTTTTTGTAACAAACTCTGTCCGTCACAGATAATTATTTTAGTCATAATTATTTTAACAATATTATATATTTAAAAATAGGGGAAAATTTTGTTACAAGAATAGAGAAACCTAAACCTAAACTGGGGTGGAAAAATTGATCCCTACTCTACTCCTAAGAGTTGTTGGTGACTTCAACTCCAATAACAAAAGTGATTAGACTGGACGCATCACCCGAGGTGATGGGTAACACTGGACGCATCACCCTTCTCATTGATCGAGGTTGCACCCATATCTCTCTGAAACGGGTTGTGATGAACGCGAAGAGCACATAAATGATGAAACATAAGGTGTAGATAACGAAATGGAATGATTCCCAAGATTCGGGTAGCATCAGCACTACCAAGCAAAGCAATGAGAGTGAACCGAACAAGTTGATGAGGGTGTCAAAGCGATGATCCCGTATGGCATACATGAACCTTCCCAAGGAGCCCAAACAATAAGCAAGAAAAGTAGCAACGGCAACCCAAATGGTCTTTGGATGAAGGTGAAATGGGGTGGGATTCTCGGGATATCTGACTTGGAGGAAACCCAGAAGTACAAAGAAGATGAAAGCAACGAGTGCATCCAGAGGATTAGTCTGTATTGTCATGTTACATATTTGGACAGAGGGTATGTTAAAAGTTACCTGAGTACCTCTCATTCTGTAAGCACGATCAGCCATTAGGAAGAACTTGCAGTAATTTTGAGGAATGCTAAAAGAAGTGAGGAACTAAGACTCTGAGTATTTTATATGGATGTAATAATTAGGTTCTCTCGTGTTTCACAAGAGTGTCCATCCTGTTTTAAGTCCTTCATGCCTGTGTTTGGAACGACCAGTGTGAATAAAATCAAGTTCTGAAAATTGAGATTTTTTATAAAAGGTTCTTAACTTGAAAATGAAAAAAAAAAAATAATCTCTTTACTCTCAGATATTCTCAATCTAAAAAAAATATAATAGTATAGATTATATATTTATTTATTTTTTTCAAATCAACTCATCTTTATTACTTCCATTTTTGGAATCAAGTAAATCATGTGAAACAACACAATCATAGAGAGATGGTGAAATAATATTTTAGCTTTTACTTTTATTTACTTCAATTCAATATCTCATGAACTGCAATAGTGAAATACAATTCATTTAAATTGTTTTGCTAAGAATAAGGATATAATCTAAGTTTGGGTACAGAGATTAAAAAATTATATAAGCCAATTCTCTTCAAATGAAATAAGGCGGTTGATAAATTTCTCTCTAAATATCCAGTTAAATAATACATATTTAGGAATAAAACTCATTATAAGTTTTCTATTACAAAAGTGTGTTAAGTAGTTAAATGTTCACTAACATCCAAAGCCTGTAGTGTCCCTACCATATTTATTCATCGTCAACAAAAGTGCCTATCAGATATACATACCAATGTATAAATGTTTTTAAACCTCGCATGTATTCATATACTCGCAAATGCCCCTACCATGTGTAGAATTCCAACAGACAGTTCATCATCGTACATGTGTCAAATGGGATGCCACAGAAGTTACCCGAAAAGGAAAAAACTTTTGCTTTTTAAAGGCATCCAAACCGCGATTTATATCAGTACATTCTTTTCTCCCTCATGCTCCGCAACCTTCTCTGTCACAAACCTGTGATAGGGTTCTTTTAAATTTCATGAATTTTTATCATTTTCCTAACTAATGCCGATAAATTTTACAAGGGAAGTGGTCATGTATGACTTTTATTCTTTTTTGTGATTTTCAAGATAATGATAATAAAAAATAAACATATATTCTTGATTTTAGTTTTTAGCCATAACATGATCATTTCTCTTGACTAGGAACTAATGATTTGCAACTGTATATATTCATTTACAACATGTTAACATCACTGGAATACTGTATCTTACGGCATTGATGTAATATTTAGCTATTCGCAAATTACGATATTATCCCTACACATAGAGTGCATGAAGGATTGAAAGTGATGAACCCTAAAATAGGAAACTATTGAGTTCTGAAAGCAGGATCAGCAATTAATGTACTCATTTTGAGGACAGCCAAAAGAAGCCAGAAATTAAAGATTGAAATAATGAGAGTATATATACATATATTCTAGGGTTTTCTTCTCCATCAAATAACACACCCACACCTACTTGGTTGGTAGTGTAGTCAATGAATGTGATATTTACTTATGGAAAGCAGGGTCAATTTACACACATAGTATATTTCTTATTAATGTAAAATATAGATTTAAAATTTTAAATAACATTATGTAACGAAAAAATTTTAAAATATATTTTGTTTGTAGCAAAAATGTCTGTTTTGACCAATTACCTCCAATATTTCAATTTTAATTTTATAATTTATACTTTACCTATAATTAATCACAGGCTTTTGTCATTCATTTTTTTATAATCAATCATCCACATTAATTATTTATTTGCCATTTTTATAATTACTCGAATCAAGAAATCTCTTAATTAAACTTTGTTTGGGTTTCTGTAACGTGTTAACATCTTCACTCTCTCCAGTTATTTCCACCTTTAACGCAAGTTGAAGCACCAGAGACATGCGCATGCAAAGCAATGCGAACAGAAAACACATTGTACTTCCAATACTTAAAAAAATCATTACTTTTTCCTCTGCAAATGACTTCTTGTGGTTGCCACCAACTTTCCCTCTCACCAGAAAAAAGGCCATTAAATCTAAAAAGACTTTAGATTGTGTTAGAAATGTAGGCTGAGATCAATAGGGGGGTGAATTGATCTTTAAAAGATTTTCGCAATTTACATATTATCTATTTCAAAGATTAAGAGTTTTGACCAATTCTTGAATCAAATACAGCAAACAATCAAAGTAAAGGCAGTGACAGAATTAAAGAGAGAGAAATTTAGAAAGATACAACCAAGATTTATACTGGTTCACCCAATCCCAGGGCTACCTCTAGTTTTCAACCAAATTCCAGCTGGATTCCACTAGATTGAACGTTTTACAGATTACAACTTCAATCTCACACTCAATCTATCATAAGAACCAAAATTTCAGTCCTTGCACCTAAACCTTCACAAAGAACCAATTTCCAGTTCTTGACCAATCCTGCAGCCAAATTCCAACTACAGAAACCAGTGCCCACACTTCCAGGCATCCACAATACAGAAAAGAAAAGTAAAGAAACAAAGAGAAGAAACTAGAACACCCAAACCAGGTTTATGTAGCTCTGCAGAATGAGTTTCTTCACCAAAAGAATGAAAATATTGCCTCAAGAAAGAACTTCTAAGAACTTCACAAAACTAGTGCGATTCTCTCTTGAAAGTAACACTTATGATTACTTGATTGATTGTCAAATGATGTATATTAAAATGTTCAAGCAACTCTATTTATATAGAAGTTTTTCCAAACTGCTAGTTTATTTAATCTGTTAAAATAATCTTTTAATCTGTTAAAAGTCTTGTTTTAATCGGTTAAAACTTCTTTTAATCTGTTAAAATATTCTTGATTATTTTCCAGATTTGTTTTAACTGATACGACAACGTTTATATCAATTAAAACTCTTCGTAAAAAATCTTTCAATTTGTTTTAATCGATTGTTTCGTCTTTTAATCGATTAAAATACTGCTAAAGATTTTCATAAAACTTTCTAAGTGATTTTAACTGATAGCAATCTGTTTTAATCGATTAAAACACTTTGGAAAAAGTTCACTTAGTTATTTTAATCGATTGAAACGCATTTTAATCGATTATTATTCTGCCAAAAGATTTCATAAAACTTTCTAAGTTATTTTAACTGATAGTAAGCTTGTTTTAATCGATTAAAACATTCTGGAAAAACCTCTTAATTGTTTTAATCGATTATTTCGCATTTGTATCAATTAAAATACTGACAGAACAACTTTCAAAACACTTCAAGTTATTTTAATCGATTATTTCGAGTTTGTATCGATTAAAATCTGCTAGAACACTTTTCAAAATAATCTAAGTCATTTTAATCGATTATATCAATTCTATATTAGTTAAAATACTTAGTTGAATATTTTCAAAAATCCTTCTAATGAAAACAATCGATTATTACAATCGATTATTTCGAAAACATATCGAGTTAAAAACTTGTTACAAAAGTGTTAAGAATATTTTAGCTGATAAAGATCATATACTATTAGTTAAAATAGTTACTTAAAAAACCTTTTAACAAAATACTTTATTTTAAACAGTTTAAACACGTTTTAGAGACATTTGCAAAATCTTTTAAATGAAGAAACCTCATACAGCAGAGAGATAATACCTAAGTAGAGATGCAGACTCACTAATCACTCTACCCTTTTATCTAAGTGACATTTGACTGCAGTATAGTAGCATTGACTTTATTTTTTATTTCATCAAATCAACAAGATTTTCCTCTCTTTCGTATTGATTATAATTTATAAAGATAAGTTATGAGAAGAATAAGAGGAGCATAAAACATATGTACGAGAACAGACAAAATGAGCGTGAAATGATGGTATGGTATGAACGTAAGAGGGGATAAGAAATATTTTAAATGGATAAATTGTGAAAAAAAGTAATATATGTATGAGAACACAGAAAAGAATGATGAGCGTGAGCGTAAAACGGTTTGTACGTGTATAAAGTAAGATAAGAAGATTTAAGTTATTTTTAATTTTTCTTCTTTTGTGAAAAAAAAAAAAGAAAAGAAAAAGAGAAGACAAAAAAAGGTAATTGATTAGAGAATGTTAAAAAAGTACTGCCACCAACAACCCCAGAAGTCCGTTTTTATAAAGACGCGCTTGCAAGTGAAACCCTCGAAATCGTCTTTCAAAACAAACTCGTCTTTGTTAATTTTTTTTCTTAGCGCCTGTTTGTTTTCAGCGACGGCGTGAAGATGCGTAAATAATCTCACCCAATTCAATGTATAACATTTCAAAAACAATCTCACCCAATTCAATGTATAACATTTCAAAAACGAGATATCGCAGGATGATGTTCAAAGAATTCGTTGAAAGAAAAGACAGTTTGAATAAGACTATGATGTTGACTGTTGTAGGGCATAAACACATTCACACAAATAAATGTGTGACAACTTCTTAACATATCTAAGACTACAATAAGTTAAAATTGACTACCAACCAAAACTAATTTTTCCTTTTTTATCACAAACGGAAAGTTGAAAAGAAATATTATTTTAATAAATTATTATTATTTTATACCAAATGGAAACTGTCTTATTTTCTTGATAAAATCTACAAATGACTTATTTTTTTTTTAAATATGAATATTTAGATTCTGATACATCTTCCTTTTAAGTTAGAATAAATATGTTTTTGAACTTTTTCTTTTAAATTTTAAAGTGCATGTTGATACGAATATCATTAACAAATACATATACATCTTTTCTATTCACATCTTAAAAATTGATAAATAAAAACATTTTGTTCATTCACATCTTAAAAATATTTTGTCATAATAAAGATAATTAAATAATTGTATAACTATCACATGACAGTTCATTTATTTGATCACATATACTATAACTACTTTTAATTATACAATATTTTGTTCATTAATTACTCTAAGTATTTTTATTCTCATTTAAAGATTATTTTTCTTTTCTTACAAGTAGGCTCGTATATTTTATCAAATATACATTCACCTCCACGAACTTTAACCAATTTTATAATCAATATTATTTATTCACTTTAACTCCACCAAAAAGTCCTATTTTTCTTATCCAATAATAAGAAACTAAAAGATCTACTAATTTTATTCTTATTTCAAAAATAAATAATTTTACATCTAACTATATAAAGGTTGACAAAGATCTATAAATGTTGTTCGAGTATATACAAGATTTAAATTATCAATTGACTTTTCAAACATAATAAAAATTTATACTCTAACTCGATTATTTTTCACAAGTTGGACCATCAATATCTCGACTCTTAATTTTTAAAGTATCGTAAATATTAAACATCTTTTTTAAATAAAAGCTACATCTAATGTAGAACCAATTATTTGACCAATATGTGCCATTTTTTTTTTTCAAACATAAAAACTTAATTAATAATCGAAAGTAGCAAGATTTATTCACATATCAAACTATAATCAATTTTTAATTAGTATTCCATTTTTTTTACTATTCAACTAATCCATTTTAATGATTTACTATTTAATTTTAATTATTGAATTCTTAAATTTATTTCAATTATTTTTAAAATTTTAATTGAATAAAATCATTTAAAAGTTTTTTTCTATCATTCTAAATCATATCATCTATATTACTTGCAACTTAATTTAGATTTTTTTTTATCATTAGCTTTCTTATTTTATCAGTAGATGATTTTTTTTACTTTTTTTTTCTTTTCTAGAAATAAATCTGCCTATTTTTACACACACACACACACACACACACACACACATATATATATATATATATATATATATATATATATATATATATATATATATATTTAAAATATGATATTATTTTAAGAATTTAAATTTAAATATTTGAAAAAAAATTATGCAAAAATATTTTATAATCATATATTAAAATATATATTATTAAAAAATTTATTTTAAACAAATACTTTATCAATTAAAAATTTATTAATATTTATACATGTAATTTTATAATTAAATAAATATTTAACTTTAATTTAATTATTTATTATTTTTAAAATATTTTTTTCATTTTTAAAATAAATAAGAATACTTTTGTTCTATTTTATTTTTCTTTCCTTTCTTTTTTTATATTTTATTTTCTTGATCCCAAACATTGTATTAGATGGACATTGATTCTATTGTGTGTGCATACGATGAATAATGGTTTGGGTTAAGTCTTCTGTTGTTGTTGTTTTTTTCCTTCACTTTTTAACTGGTTCCAATATGTTTTAATCAAGTTTAAAATAATTAGTGTTACGTCCCTTCGTTTTATTGCTATTTTTAGTTTAGTCCTTGCTTAATTTTTGTTTATTTTTTTATTTTTTTGAACTGATCCCATTAGTCCCTTTGTGTACTGCTATTTCTAGTTTTTATCTGGCCTACTTTCTGCTCTTATCTAACCTAAGCAAATCTGAAATTATATAATGAAATGGAGATGGTGGAAAATAATAACTCCAAGATTTCTTCCCAACATTGAGAAGTGCCAACTGAATTTTATTATGCCTCATGATTTTGGACTCTATTACAACCTATTCTTTATATACATCTACCCTATAACTCTTTTTTAATAATCAAATAATTTTAATCATAAAAAATTATAATTTTTATTAATATTGTATTATTAAATCAATTGTTGGATGGTTTCATGATTTTGTGGGTAGAAGGAAAAACTATGTTTGGGTAGGGTCAAAAGTAAACAATGGTAAATTAATTAAGAGATCACACATGCGTATTAATAAGAGTAAGTATATGAATTTTTTCATTTTAAAAAATATAAAATATAAATTTATTAACTTCTATCATACCTAAATCATTTTTAATTTATTTTATTTTATAAAAAAATATTCAAAATATAAATTATTTTACTTAAAAATTTATTAATAAAAAATTCATTTTTAATACTATTAAAAAATTATTTTAAATAATTAATATTTAACTTAAATATTTTAATAAACGATTCTCATTGTAAATATTCTTATAGAAAAATTATTTGATTTAATTTAATATAAATTTTTATATATATTTATTTAAATATATGTGCATACTTTATTTAAATTTTATATAATTTTTAAATGTTAAGAACCTTCACTCTAGCTTAGAGCATTGTAAAACTAAAGAGAAAGATCTGCATTAGAAAACTAAGGATGACACCACTATCATTTTTTTCATAAGTATGCATCTGATTGATTACTCTTTTGCATTAAAATCCACAGGCCATATTCAAAGTAATGGAACAAGGCAAATGATCATCTGTAATTGTAGCATGTATAGATGCAGCAACTCTTGTCTTGATGGTGCATGGGGAAAGTAAAGTAACAACATTGTAGTTAATTTTCATTAGATTCACAAAGAGCTACCAACATTACAATTATGCCACACCTCTCTCTGAAAGAATTTATTATCCTGAAAGAATAGAATTACAGAATAAGTCAAAGAAGGAATGATACTTTACACATTAGCTATTTATCAGCATCAATGACCAGAACGATGCATATTATACATACATCATGACCCTCAGAAGAAATGTGCATCCTTTCTGAACCAAAACCACAATTATGTTAAGCAAAATCAAATAAAGATTACAAAAGAAAAAATGAATTTTATACGAGGAACACTGCTCAAAACAATGGTATTAAAATCATCATGATGCTGTTACTGCAAGCATAGACGAATTGGAGCTTTCTTCATCTGGTGGGGGCTTAATGTATTTCCCTATCACTTGTTGGCGATGACGCTTCCTCATTCTGTTTTGTTTTTCTATACTCTTTTGCTTTCTCTTTTCCTTCTCTTTGTGCCTTAAACTTCTCTCTCTCTCGTATACACCTTGCCAGAATACTTCACCCGTTGAAGGCCACAACCAATGCCTCCCAGGATCCTCGTAATCTGATAATTCTGCCAAGTCCTCATCCATGCTCTTAAGGGTGCTGTATGAGAACCATTTGATCCACATTTGACCTCTGCGGCTCTTGAACTTGTGTTGTTCCTGCATTAGACCAGTTTCGGGGTCCACATACACCATCCTCCTTGCACTGTGGTATGCCCACACATTTACAAGAAGCTCCAGAAGCCGTGAATAACAATGCTTGTCCTGCAATTTTATTACATCCATGTTTTGAGACAAGTGGTACAAAAGTAAGCAGCGAGGATATAATGTAATTGAAAGTAAATATACTCATTATAAATTAGAATGCTCAACTTGGAGAATAAAGGTACTCCCTACTCTATCAATTAAACATATTAACTATTCTCTCTTCTCTCTTCTCTCTCTTTTGGATGTGTTCTTTCAGACATTACCAAAACAAATTCTCTCTAAATCATCTTATATATTTTATCTACTTAATTGTCTCTTCTTTCCATTTTGCATCAATCAACTATCTTTCAAAGAAATTGATATTATTTAAAAAAAAAAAAAAAAAATCCTTGTATTTAAAATATGTAAACTAATCCTTTGAGGAAGCAACTTACTTTTGACAAGCTCAAAGAACAGTGTCCTGTTGAATGGTGTTCATCGTACATCTGTGCATCCATTGCATTCACGAACATTCTGCAGAAATGGTAGTTTACATCAGTTACTTAACTCTCAAACAAGTTACAAGAGAACAAGTTTCTTATTTGGCAAAATGAACTAGTTTATACCTGGAGAACATTACAAACTCCAAAAAGGATCTCGTAGGCAGAGTCCAACTCTGCATGACAGACCACGTGTCACCATCTACAGGCATGGGTGGCAAAGAATCCACATCATCTTTTAACCCATACATTCTCCTCATGGCTTTTGAGAAAGCAAATCTTCATTCAAATACAAATGTAGAGAAAATCAATCAATATCTTTATAAAAATGCAAAAGAAAATGAAAGCAATTGTCAAGACTCAAGCTTTCATGAACTCAACATATAAATGGGTTTAAGATATCATACTTGCAATTTCCTGCATTAATGGCATCACAAAATGTCCAAAAATCCTTTTGCAAAGGGTTTCGTCTATCCATATCCATGCGAACCCAAAAATATAGTGCATCGCCATACCTTTTGGATTGTATGGCATCTAATAATGAATTTTCAGCAGTTCCGGACAAAGATGCCTGTTAAAACCAGACACTAGATGTCAAAAAACCAAGAACAAGAGACAGATTTAAGAAATCCAGTTTATTGTTCCTAGTCAAAGTCATCTTCCTATATTTCAGCCTTACACACAATTCATGTCACATTAATCAAAAGGAGGGAGAATAGAAACTAGTGAAGGCCCAGGTCTGCACACACGGTCTAGCTTAAATACCTTATAAATTATAATATCGACAATTAATACATACATAAATAAATAACAGAAAAAAAGGTAAACATAAAATAAGCATCACAAGTCGAAAAAACCTTTAAACCAAATATTATTGACAAGGATAAAATAAATATTTTTTAAAACAAATATATTGACAAATGGAGAAGAATATCAAGGAATACGTCCAAAGGAATGAGACACAGAAAACACTCATATACCTTCTTTGCTGTTGCTCTCCAAGACTGAAATCCAATCCAAGCATTTCTGTGTAATCGGTCAATCCTGTTTGCAATTGCAAAGAAGGCTCCATGTTCACCAAGTAAATCTCGATAATAACCATCATTAAGCAGTGGAAGACGAGAAGGAGCATCAACATCATCTCTTCCTGGTCTTCGACCTTTACTGGACTGCAAACGTCCAGCACATTTATTGTGAGATTGAAATAAGAAGCCAACCACTAAATGTTCTGACGAGAAAGCACAACTACTAGAGAGAAGATTTGGGGCATTATTATCATTGTATATGTGCACCAGGGGTATTCAAAGATCCCTCTCAAGGTCTCTCCAAATTTTATGATACACAAGACTAGAAAATCAAGTATTATAATCACTGGTAACATGTATTAATATGAAAATACAATAAAATACAAGCACATTCAACTTACCAGGCCAACTCCTCGATAAAGAGATCTTTTATGAAGAAAAGGCCAGGATCCTTCCCCAAAATAAGGTTCATAAATGCATAGTGGTTGTCCTGTCCGCTCAAGCTCTCCTTCATCTCTTTCATGTAAATCATTCTTTGCTCTGTCAGCTCTCTTAGCGTTTTTATATACATCCTCCCATGTTGCATGAAACTGCTCTGTTCTATCCTTTAACTGCATTAAAACTCAACACGAGTTAAGCTTTACCCGCCAGAAATGAAAGTCATCAAAGATCCAATACCCTAATCTTTTAAAAATATAATCCTAAATCCTCCCAACCATTCTTCCAAATAATCCTCCTTATTTGAAAAACAAAGAAAATTTGAAATCTTGGTGTTTCATTGACAACTTTAGAGTACTACGAAAATATTTGATGTTTTAGAAAGACATAGCATTGCTCTTGGATAAATTAGAACATTCCCTGATCTCACCTCTTCATCCTCTCTCCTTTTTTTGGTAATAGCCAGTTGAGTATATTTTTCTTCCTCCCATAAGCTATATATAAATATATCAGTAGCTACAACTGTAGTAGTGGATCTATTTTTTTGAGAACGATTCCACTGGCCCTCATACTTATCTAAAAACGTGTTACTTCTTAATGCCCTATTTTGATATGTCATATTTGGAAGAGTCTCAAATAAATGCCATTGCCATTGTTCTTTAACATTGGGGCAAATATCTGAAGCATTCTTGGGTGGAGCAACCTCCGACGGAAGCCTGATAATTTTCTGAAGTAAAGATGCATATCCATCAATTGCTTCTGAAACCATAAGATTCTTTGCAGTGTTTCTCCCTATAGAGGCAATGTTACGAGCCAAGGGTGATATTTTCCCATTTGAGATAACTTCTAATAAAATTTGTCTCAGAGCTCTAATATTGTCCCTTGGGAAAAGATAGCCATTCACCCTGTCATCAACCTAGTTAATGTCAACAAAATAGTCAGCAGTCTCCTCAGAAATACATGATATGAAAAACTTCAACACTTTTTATTTTTCACTGTAAATAACAATTAACAACATTTTAGATATAAATTATTAGGAGTATTCACGACTCAGGTTTAATTTTTTTTTCTTTAAATAATCATTTAAACTAAACATAAAAGTTAACACAGTTCGGTTTTAATTCAATATGAAATTTGAACCAAACCAAACCAAACCGATGTTCACGGTTTGGTTAGATTGGTTTGATGGATTTTCTTCTTATAAAATTTTGAAACAATTTTTAAAGACAAATGTAAAACATTTTCTTACAAAACAATTGTTAAACATTTTCTAATGAAAATTTATCAAATAAAGAGACATAATAAAAAAATGTATAGCTGTTAAATTAATAAATCAATTACACAATCTTATAATTAAAACATACAAATATATTATAAATAAAATACAACCAAACTATAAAACAACATTCAAGAGACATAATATTATATTAAAAATACAATAAGTGGTTTGATTTTTAATTTTTAAACTGAAATCCAAATCAAAACATGTGGTTTTAGAAAAACTGAACCTAGAAAATCCGAAAATTTTTCAATTTTGATTGGTTTGCAATATTTTTTATGGATGAGCTCGATTTTGAACACCTCTACAAGTTATTATAAATGCCAAAAAAAAACTAGTCTGAATTATTCCAGAAGACTTAAAATTAAAGATTGATAAAAGTAACAACCAGTAATCTAGCCCCATGATACGGCTAAATTAAAAAATTTACAGTGTAAACTTACGTATTTTCTGATTGTCGGAACATCTGGAGCAATAATTGGTTTCTCAAACGACATAGCTTTGATCAAAATCTCTGGAAAAGAATGTTCTTCAAGAAAGGATCCATATACCACTACATCTGCTGTGCCAAGTACAAAATCGGCTTTTGAATCTCCAGCTACATGCTCTATAATACCTCTTGGATATTTCAAGCTATGCGCCATGGTCTAATGTTACAGAACACAAGATCACAAACATCGAATTATTTAGCCAAAAAATGAAGAGAAGTAGGGTATACCTCAAGAGCCACGCTGTAGTTATTTGTTAATTCCCCACTATGAACAATGATCCGTAGTTGTACACTGGAATTATCTTTGTTTAAAGGGAAGTTCAACAGAAGTGGTTCCAAAGCCCTTAAAACAATGGCATGCCCCAACCACATGCCCTTGTACAGAAATTGACTGCCCACGATTGCAATAATAACATCTTCTGGGCCATAGCCCATACTCACACGCAAATTATCTTTCTGTAAGGCCATAAATGCTTCTGCTTCTAATGTTTCGGCGGGGGTACCAGGAATGACGAAAAAATTTCCAGCATCAAATGTGGAGTAAATCATCTGTAGAATCATAAAGAAAATTATGTGTCATAATATGATTTCGATAATCAAACTTTACCTAAATAAATTGTCCCAAACATATTACCGGCAAGGCATAGTTTGGAAAGACAACAACTGTTGAACGATTGAAAACTCTTCCCCAATCATTCAAAAGTTCTATCTGCCCATTACTGGTATATTGTCTTGATCGATAAGCAAGATTTTTTTCATGAATAATCCATATAAGAGGGATAGACTTGAAAGGTTCCTGCAAAAAGCTGTAACAAATAAAATCATTCGTGTTACTTGAATAAGGACATTCATGCCAAAAACCTCAAACACAAACCATGGGTGAAAAGTCAGCAAGGGATTCAGGAAACAACAATCAAGTATCATACCATGAAAAGGCACCCTTGGCCTCCAGGGAGCTCACAATTATACCATCATAGCTGGGGAAAAAAAAGACATTAGCTTCAATGTAGAGAAGATATATAAAGCTCAAAATGCTTAAATAGAGTCATTTTGTCACCTTAAGTTACCGTTTGATTCGGATTTCTACACATTTCAATTATTAAAACTATACAAAATTGTTAGTCCAAAAGAAAAATTAGAAGAACAATCATACTTTAGCCAGTCTACAGTGTTGTTTCGCTTATCACAAGTTCTAAAGATAGAGATAGGAACTCCTAAATTTCGCCACATATTATGCCCTGGTCCATCTTCAAGTGAAAAGACCTGCAAAACATAGAGAATATCAGAGCTAAAATAAACATAATAAAATTAATTAAAAATAAATGTGGAAATGATGTGGAGGCAAATATCTTAATGATTTTTTAGCCTCACTTTGACAAGTCACAACTCTTTTAAGGACATCAACCTACATTTTCAAATCCACAATCCAGCTTCAATATTCAAATACTTGTTTGCCAAGGTTCTATGTTGAAGTTGAATGAATATAAATATATGGTAGAAGTATTTTCACTTATCCAATAGTAAAGTAAACACACATACAAGAAACTAACATTTATCTTATAATTCAACATCTGTGCGTTCTCCATCTCTTCCAGGAAATAAAGCACCACATTCACCCCACAATTACCACATTGATCATTTAGCCAGTTCTCCATTCATTTTCTTTCCCTAAACACGGTAATTTTCCAGCATAAATACCGAAAATAAACCGTAAACGGTGTACCTGAATTTCATAGCCAATCTCTTGCAAAGCAGTTGCAACTGTTACCATAAGCAATTGTTGTGAATCAACCAACAGTTCTCCAAACACCTTCAAAAGAAATCCAAATCACATCAAGAGAGAAATAAAATAAAATTCCATAGACCAACCATAACAAGGAAAAACTCAAACAACACTGAAACAATAACTTGACTCTAACTTGAACAGTTTCAAATTCATGTAAAACAAACCACGATTTTATCATAAAAAAGAATAAAAACCATGCTGAAGTAAACCGCATGCAAAACCTAAAAATCCAGCTTCTAGTTTAACTCCCCCAAAAATGAACACCAAGAAACTCGCTAAACAAGCACCAATGGATGTAAAAAATTAATTAAGAATAGTTGAGCTAACCAATGCTAGATGAGGCTTCCTGTATCCAAAATGCTGCACTGAGTGGTTAAACAAACCAACATCCTTACCCTCACCACCACCTCTCCTAAATTTCTCCAGAATCATAGGCAAAAACACGGCATCCTCCCCAATGTCCAACATAACCTTGTGCATTTCTCCATGGAACAAATTCTCAGACCGCATTTTCACAGCTTTCTTCTCCTCGGAGTTTTCCACAACCGACCCTGGCAGGAACATTTGGAACACAACGACCAAGCAGAGAAACACCAAAACCGTGCAAATCCATTGCACGTAATCGAGCTTCTTGAAGAGCAGCCTCGAGAAGCTCGATCTGAACCTGTGAGGAAAAGGGTTCTTCTCCTTTCTGGTGAACTGAGAACCGAACAAGTTCCCCTTCTTCAATGGGATCCCAGATTCCAAGGAACCCATTAGAGTCCCATCAATTGGGTCTTAGCAGAGTGGGGAAAAGCTTCAAACTTTGGCGAAAACTCGCATGCACACGAACACCCACTGCGACCCCTTCAATGAGGTTCAACCAAGGCTGAAAAAGAACAAACCTTTGGTGCTTGAATTGAAGAAAAATACCAAGAAAGATTCTGGGTGTGATAAAACGGGATTCTGATGTGGATTTGGGTGATTTGATTTGGGTACTGTTCAGTGAATTTTACTCAAGAAGGAAAAAAAAAGAAGTAGAAGAAGAAGATTTTAACGAGTGGAAAGAGATGCACACGGTAGAGACAACGGCCAGTGAGCTGAAGACTCGCGAACGAAACGAATCTCTACTCTGAAAAAAATAAATAAAAAATAAAAACAAAACGTTAATTAAATGGACCAATATTTTTGCTGTCTGAAAGGGCAAGTGCAAGTGTGTGCTCCTTTTATTAATTTTTATTTTTTGGGGGTAAAATGAAAGTGTTCTATTTCTGTGCTAAGTAAACTTCAACAAATCTTGTCATGCTACTAATTTGGAAATTTTAATATCTTGTCACGCGCATTGAGTGAAAAGCGTAAGGTCACGCGTGCAGAGAAAAAGTTGTGGAGAAAAAAAAAATTAATAAAATGCAAGTGTCACGTTGATGAGGTATTGAGTAAGATTCTGAAACCCTGTGATCTGATAATTTATTTAAGGTTAATGCTACCGTGGACTTTGTGGGGTGGTTCAATGTGAATAGTCTTTTTTAGGTTTGAGATAGTCAATGTGAGAATTTATTTTTGCTTCTGCACTTCTTGTAAAGTGGTGTCATTTTTTATTAACTTTTCCTCGTAATGTTTGAGGTTTTACATTATTCATTTCTTATCTCTGTTTGCAAATGAAATTGAATTGGGGTCACTTGATAATGATTATTGAAGGGTGTTGCTGGAGAAATTATCATGTGCAAGAGTCTGCCTCCGACAACTGGGAATGGTGTTCAGGAAATTTTGAAGAAAAATGTTGAAATATTGAATGTGACAAGACAAATAACATTCAGATCAATCTTGTGGTTAAAATAAATAGTTGTTGGTGAACTACTTATTAAAGTGTTACACTGTAGTCTTGGGCTTTTTTAAAGACATAGATATGTCGAACATTTGAAACATTTATATGTTACTTGTTTGGGGAGATATTGTTTCTAACTACAACTTTTGGAAGGTATTGTCTATTATTGTCCTCTTATAAATTATATTGTTGGGGTGACAAAATATATCTTTTAACCTAAAAAGCTATTTGTTTTTGGTATTATACCATTTACAAGGAAGAGAAAAGATGTGTATTTACATAAAAAGTTAAAGTTTAGATTTATGATTTTATGTTGATCGTGGAAAAATATAGTGGAGTCTTGAACTCAGATAACTTTCTCGTATGGTTGGAAAAGATTAAGAAATTAGTTCAAGAACTACATTTACTCATTTTTATGCTTCGTGTTATTTTGTCCAACAATCTTAATCAATTGATTATGGTTGATAAAAAAATTTAGGTCATTGCAATTGAATCTTATTACAACGTAACTTTTTATTTTATTTATTTTTCATTCAACTTTTTTTTCTTAAAATAATTATTCTCGTACTCTCAAATTATTTTTTATTTTGTGATTTTTAGATTCTAATATCTTTATAAATATTTACTATTATATATTATTATTATTATTATTATTATTAAATATTACATCAACGCGTTACTAATATTTTTATTAATTAAACTACAAAAAAAATTTATGCGTAATATGCTGATAAGTTGATCTATAAATAATAACAAAAAAAGTAACAAAAAAATCCTTAAAATTTTATTTTATTGATAAGTTAATTATTATTTCAATAAATATATGAAAATAATAATTAATAAATATAATATTAGATTTATTTATCTTAAATATCATCTCATGTTAAAACAATTTTTTTTTAATATTATTCTAAAGTTTGTAAATTAATTACTTCATATTTAACTGTCTTCTTATTTTTAATTCATAATTATTTATATGAAATTTTAAATAAAGATATTTTCATAATTTATTATACTATCTAATTAAAATAGTTTTTATTTTGGCAAATCAATTATTTTTTTTTTACTTATTTAAAACTCTCTTTCCTCTAACTCAAATGTTTTTTTTTCTTTTCTATTCTCTCAAATTCATTCATTAATTTAAAAAAAATATTAATCTATTTTTATTCCAATTTGCCTTTAGAATATTGATTTTAGTCTATCGTTTGAAATAACCTGTTAGTTAATCTTTACCAAAAATAGTTTATTTTCTAAATAGATTTGTATAATAATAATTTATTTTTTTTACGATGTCTTTTAATTATAACAATAAAAAGGTAATAAAAAGGCATACAAATTACCTAATTTTCATAGGCTAAAATATAAATTTGACCCTCACTTCTTCTTTTTTTAGAAATTTATGTTTCAAAAACTTTAGAATATCATTTATTATTTTCAATTAGGTAACATTTTGTCCTTTTATAAATTTTGTTTCGTATCATTCCTCACGTTGATTAAAATAAGGATAGTTTATATATTATTCTACCCTAATAATGTTATTAATTTTACATATTTATATATTATAAATTTATATATTATAAATTTGCGTTTAGAAAGAAAAATAAAATGTTAGATCATAAGCAAAATCTAAATTAAAATTAATTCAACGTCAAATATTATGAATATCGTACCTAGTAAGGGACAAGTATTGTATTTTGTTAATAATATCTAAATTTTTGAATTAGTGGTTATTTTTATTATTTAATTATTCTTATATAAATATTTTATATTCATCTAAAGCAAAGATTTAGATCTTGAAATTTAATATTTTATTTAAAAATGAAAGTATCTTTGTTGTGATAATATTTTTAAGATTAATTTATAAGAGATTATTCATTTTTGAAAGTTTCTAATTTTATCCTTAAAAATATTTTACTAAACTAAAAAAGATATATATATATATATATATATATATATATAAATTAACTTTTATATTCGACTCAATATAAAAGTCGTGACCTGTGAAATATAAATCTTTAATCGAAAAATAGAAGATGCATAAATATTAATATTCTATCTAAAATAAAATTACGGTAATATGTAATAAAATTACGAGTAATTTCTATTTTCGAAATATACCATCTAATATAAAGTATACACGTGGGGAAGTCTTATGCAATTTGCAATAATACATAAACATTACTATAAGAAAATTATAAGCATTTTTTAAGAGACCGACGTAAGTGAAGCCGTGAAAGTGATACTAATTAGAATAAGAAACAAAGGAGGCGTTGTTGATACAATTGAATTGGTCCATTGTTTCCTCTTATCCATCAAACTTTACAAATTAAGTATCTTCCAAACTTCCTTCTGCATTATTATAATGGAGCATTATCATTATCAATCATCATCACCATTCTTATGCTCCAGCATCTTACCACAATTGATTTTTATTTTATCTTTTAATTCCATTATTAGTTTCCCAGAGAAATTAATAATTAAAAAAATCCATTCAAGTTCAATCCAAAATCATATTCATGCAAATCTCTCTATTTCAGTGAATCTCTTTTAAATTAAATTTATATTTTTAAATTCTAAATCTAATTCAATTCGTTGTGTTTGAACAGGATATGATTATGTTTTGTTTTTTTCAAATTTCAAATTTTAAATTTTAAAATATATTTTAATCCTAAAAAATTATTCAGTCTAAGCAATTTATTTATTTATTTTATTTCTACTCTATTTACAGTTTATCTTTTTTAATTTGAATCACGCTGGGAAGTATTTTATAATTCAACTTTTACCTAACACATCATCAACTTGATCCCAACTCACACTATTAACACAATTTAATCTTGATTCAACTGTTATTAACCAAATTTAGACTAAAATATTGTTGACCTAATTACTTATCACATGTGTTTTTTTTATCTAAGTATAATTTATTTAAGTTTAACCTAATCTCAAAATTTAAATATATGGTGACCTGAACTATAAAAAGACTTACAAAGAAGTCAATATAACATACAAATATCAATTTTATTTTATTTATCATATAACTTATTTTATATTTTTAAAATATGAATATTAATTAAATTAAAAAATTTCAACAAGCAATAAATCATTGTATTAAAAATAAATAATTACATAAAATATTACATAAGTCATGGTCAAGTATAAAAAGTTGAAAAAAAAAACTATAAGCAAAAATAATTAAATTACGAGAAAAAATATTATAAAAAATAATAGTATACATTAAAAAAATAGATCTAGTTAGAAAAAAAAAATATAAAAGTGAGTAGAAAAATAAATGAAGTTATTAATAAGGCAGTGCCATGGCTGTCGGTGTCCCAGGTCCTGTGTCTGTACATTTGAAACTGTCACACATGGGGTTGTTGGTTTGGTTGGTCTTCTTCTTCAGTTACATATTTTGGAAACAAATCCACACTCAAACTCAAATGGGAAAAAAAGTGAAAATAAAAGAAAATGAGTAAAACTTATAATTATTAGGGGTGCATAGAAAAATAAGAAATAAAAAATAAGAGAAATGAAGAAGAAGATAGATAGATTATTTAGTTTAATAGAAAGAGAAGGAAAATGGTTGAAAATTTTAGGAATATCTATTGATTTAATTGAGGTCACGGTATGCATTTTTCTTTTAGTTTTTGTTTTTCTGAACCACATTATTTGGTTTGAATTTTGTATTGAAATTTGAAAATTAAATCATTGGAAGTATTAAAATGTAGTATTATATGTTTAGAATTAGTTATATCTAAAAATATATAATTCATAACTTGAATATATTTTATTTATTGTATATTTATATTTATAAAAATATGATAATATATTTATAATTTTTAATTATAAGATGGTGCAATTTATTTATAAATATGAGAGAAATTTAATTAACACGTATAATATTATAAAATAAAAAAATACAATATATTTTTCTATAAACCAATTTTCGACTATA